ACGCAATCCTTTATAAATCTGACCCCTGGTATGTACAGAGGGAATGGGACAGCGTGTACCTGGTATGTACAGAGGGAATGGGACAGCGTGTACCTGGTATGTACAGAGGGAATGGGACAGCAGGTACCTGGTATGTACAGAGGGAATGGGACAGTGTGTACCTGGTATGTACAGAGGGAATGGGACAGCGTGTACCTGGTATGTACAGAGGGAATGGGACAGCAGGTACCTGGTATGTACAGAGGGAATGGGACAGTGTGTACCTGGTATGTACAGAGGGAATGGGACAGCGTGTACCTGGTATGTACAGAGGGAATGGGACAGTGTGTACCTGGTATGTACAGAGGGAATGGGACAGTGTGTACCTGGTATGTACAGAGGGAATGGGACAGCATGTTACAGCGGCTTGCTCCCAGCATGTCCACCTTCTGACAGACATCATTCTTCAGTTTCTCAAACTGGCCTTTAGTCTCTCTGACCTGAGCCTGGACCTGTCAACACACACACACACACACACACACACACACACACACACACACACACAGAGAAACGTCACAAACACGTTTCAGATCGCTGAGGTTAAAATCCCTTTCGTCGGCACTCACTTTGCGGAACTTTTCCAGCTGTTTGTAGGTGTCTGGGTCCAGTTCTTGAGAGATGTCCTTCATCCAGAGCAGTGCTCCTCTGTACTCGGTGCGAGACTTCTCCATGCGACCGACCGTCAGCAGCGTGTCGGCGATGGCTCGCCGTCGGAAGGTCTCCACTTCCTGGTGCATGCGGTGCAACGGAGGACAGAGCGCCATCCTGCAAAAGAAAAGAAGAGCTGGAGCTGGTGAGGAGTCAAGTAGACGGGCAAAAAATCCAACATAGCCATCTAAATCAGGACGAACTCAGCTTTTCTTATGCTCATCTAATGCATCAAAGCTCCGCCCCTCAGTCGGGTGTTGAATAAACTCTAGTAAGAAATGTTTGAATGTGAGAGGATATATCTCTGCTTGTTTTGACTAAGAAGATATATCTCCACAAGTGATATAACCTTACTTACATCACATTTAATATGTTTAATTTTTTGTATCTTTTTAAAAAAAGAACCTTCAAAATACTAAAAACAAATATAAAATATTTATTTGTACAGTTCTATAGTTGTCACTTTACATTATTGACATCTACAATAGCACATTTAGCAATGACAACAACAAGCTGAGAGAATTAGCTTCAATTAGCCTTAGCTCCGGCTAGGCTTAGTTTTAGTTAGCCTTAGGTTTAGTTAGCATTAGCTACACTTAGCCATTCCTTCACTAAGCCTCAGATTACTTAGCCTTTCCTTCAGTTAGCCTTAGCTTCAGTTAGCCTGCAGTTCTGCCTCAAGCCTCTATTCATTTTGGTCTGTTTTTTATGTGAAATCTGAGCTGCGGCTGAAAAAACATATGCGCTTAACTCTGCTGCTCAACCCGCAAAATATTTTTAAAAATGTGTCACCATTTCATTCATGTCAAGTTGTACGGATTGTCCATAAGTTATAAGGATTTTACGTCATTTTGCAGGATGTATAGAACAATCTTACAGATTTTTTCAAAACCTCAATTTCAAAATTATCTAACATGTCAAGCCTGTAGAGGATGATTTTTTAAAACAATAAATAGGCTCTATACAGGTAAACATCCATGTATGCCATTTAAAGGGGAAACAAACAAGCTTTTCAAATGTGTGTGATTTTTCTTTTATTTTTACCTGGAAACATTGGGCCTCAAGCAAGAACATGTTCGTATTCTTCTCCTAAATTTCTCTTACTTTTGTTCGTACAAAGGGTTCGTACGAACATGTCACGTCAGATTCAACAAACTCTTCTATCTTCA